TCACAAAGTAAATTAAATCCACACCATCCGAAGGCATGATTATTTTTAGAAAAATATTGATGTAGAAAGCCACGTTGCTGCTCGTAAAAATCAGTTTCACTTTAATATAATACATTTTGTAACCTGAGATTCTGAAGATTACATCATTTACCGTATAGTATTTATGCAAGGAGAGTAATGCATCGGATAAGGATAAGACTATCACTGTTTTTTTAAGGGAAGGAAGTGTACAGGATTTCGCAATCATGACTGTCAATTTGATAAATGTAATTATTCCGATTATCGATTATTATAATTATCGATTTTAATAATATTTTATTACTTTTAATAATGCAGTAATGGTTAAGGAGTAAATTGGAATTATAGATTAAGTGATTGCAATTTTTTTTAATATATATTTCAAAAATAAAATCATAATGATTTGCACCGAGAATGCAACTTTCATGGTGCTTAAAATGTTATTATTTTTATCCCAACTGATTTTTATTCAAAAGTATGTAGAATATTTTACATATTTCTTTTGCCACTAAGATATTTCTGAGAATTTCATCTGTGCTGATTACAGACTGCTGCTGATTTTTATAGAAATTTAGTTCACCGTATGCATAGAGTTTTACTGATTTCTTATATATTAATTTTTAAAATACAGGTTGTCCCATATAAAAATACACACAAACTCAACCGGAACAGCATCCTAATTTTGTCTGCCCGATATGGTTAAGGACACTCTGTTTTTTACAGTAGTATTTATTAAAAATACAACAACGCAACATGTTACATGTAGATGTAGATTATAAAATTTAGTATTGTGGTGAAATATAATCAGGGTTATACTTTTATTTAGGACACCCTGAGTAAGAAAGAATTAGACCCTATTGGTAGTGCAAAATCCTATTGGTTTCATCAATTGGTTTTTGAGGAATTGAACACACGACCAATTGAATTGAATCAATTGGTCGTGTGTTCAATTCCTCAAAAATGCCATGGAAACACACGACCAATTGAATTGAATCAATTGGTCGTGTGTTTCCATGGCATTTTTGGGAGCGTGGGCTGTTGTTGGTTTTGATTACTGGTTTTTACAGGGTTCGGCTAACGATTACCAAAGGCTGGATTCAGCACAATATTTTATTGATATGTGCGGGACACTGCTAGCAAAACATCTGATGTGTATACCACGCGACTTCCTTGTGTGGAATATTAAATTATACGCACTTTTTTCTGCATTTCATTCAAACGTATTTCCTCGGATATCATTAGAGATATATTTCTAATTCAATTAATTCTGATCTCAGTTCCAGGTAACTCAAAAATGCATAAAACTTCAAAATATCTTCATTAAAGTTTGAAAAATATAGAAAAAAATCAAAACACCAAATACAGTTAAAACAATAAAAAAAATTTGACAATTAAAATTAGAGTTTCTATGCAAAAACAAGCAATTCGGCCGCACAAAAATGAAAGTTTAATTTTGCTCTCACTCGGCAAAAAGACACTGAGGGTGGAAAAGCTGAATTCACTATACTGTTAAGTTTCAAATTTAAACAAATATGACTGCTATGGTAACCAAAAATTAGGCTTAGCCGCACTTAAACAACTTTCAAATTGTTGATAATCCTACAAATATTGTATGCAGATTAACTAAAGACATAAGAACCTTAACTAGAAGATAAGAACAACATAATTCAATCAATTTTAAAGCAAAAATGCGCAATTTACCAACATATAAGAATAAAAAAACTGAGCTCACTAAGCCGAGTAACAGAGTGGGTATATATATATATATATATTTATATACTTTTGGTGCGGCCGATCGCAACCAAAAAGAAGATGCATAACTACATATTATAGCAGTCCTATATACAAAATTTCAACGTTCTAAGACTACTCGTTTTTGAGTTATGCGAGATACATATAAACAAACGTATGTACAGACGCCACGAAAACATCTTCTGAATCCATTTTGAATCAATTTTATAATTCGTTTTGGGAAAAAGAGTCTTTTACCCTGTCCTTATATAAAGATGTCACGCGAAAATATAGAGGACAAAATGAATATTTTTCTTGAAATATGATACCCGAAATTTTTCTCGATTACAATACTTCCTTTAATTTATAAGGCATTTCTCCCATTTTCCTAACGTGCCTTCGTGGTGTAGTGGTTCTGCACGCTGGGCCGGTATTCCAGAGGTCCGTAGATTGATTCCCGGCGGAGGCGGTTGCTAATTTTTCCAATTCTCCTGCTTCTAAAAATATACCTAATGTCTTTACAGTGGGGCTCGAACTAAAAGGGTGTTGGATGAGGTTTCTCCACACCCAGGATTTGGCGATTGAGTCCCCTGAAAACCCCAATCGGCCTTTAAAAAGTGGAGTATATAAGGTATTTCTCCCACTTTCCTAGCTTGCCTTCATGGTGGAGTGGTTCTGCACGCTGAGCCGGTATTCCAGAGGTCCGTGGTTCGATTCCCGGCGAAGGCATTGTTAATTTTTCAATTCTCCTGCTTCCAGAAAAATATACCTAATGTCTCTACAACTTCGTACAAGGAAGTGACAAGAGTTGTTATGCATGTTCGAAATTTAGCTACCTAATTTTTCGAAATTAGATATATATTGCTCGAAATGGAATGTAATTTAAAATTGGCTTTGTTCACTAATTTATTTATTTATTTATTATTTTTTTGGTATCTTTTTTGGTTCAGATTACTGGTTTTTTTTGTTTGACTTCTTTCTCTTAATTTAACAACAAAATCAAGAATTTATTATGTGAAAATACGGAAGAAATAATAAGATTAAAAAAAATAAGGGGAAAACTATATTACTGAAGTCTGAACAAATTTTTAGAAATACCAGTTTTTACAAATTTTAGATGAAAGTATTGTTTATAGAGATAAATCGATGTCATAATTAGAATTCATATGAGAAAGGCTTTTTTTAATGTAGTCTGCATTTAAAAGAATATTCAACTAAAATAAAAACCAATAAATGTATAATAAATGAACCAATAAATGAATATTCAACTAAAAATAAAAACCAATAAATTTTGTAATTTTCATTCTTCTTATAACTGAAAACCAACAAACAAAAAAGCAAGGGTTTGAAATGTTTTATGTTTTTCATTAATTATGTATATTAAAAGTAGTACTTAAAAATTTTTTTAATGATTTTATGAAAAACAGAAATATACCACATATAATGAATACACCAATTCAATTGTAGGGTTTATATTTATTTTAACTAACATTTATTTTAAGTTTAAACTATCTTTCCTGTCAAGCCTTACTTTCCCCTGGAATTGCCAATGCCAGAGTATGTAAATTTTAGTAGAACGCGCAAAGTATTCAAAATTGTCAGCGGAAGTAATCTGAGTTAAATAGAAGGGAAACGAGTTCGAAAGTGCTTTCTTGCTTCACGAGCGTGGAGGTGGCTTGGTAGAAATTGAAGAACCACGCGTTTCGGCCTGTGTGCTTGCCTCGGTAGATAGTTAAATCTTTCAACGTAATATTCAGAAGTTTGCTGAATTATCAGCGGTATCTTAGAACGCGGTTAGGTTAGTTACGTTTTAGAGAGCCTCGTAGGTAGTCACTTGTTATTATTCATTTTTAGTTTCTTATTTTTATTTGACCGCCGGGTCGGCGTAGTTTGTGAGCGTCAAGAGTACGCATCTGTAATTTCTAAAGTTGAATAAAAAGGGATTTAAACCCTTCTCAAGACTTTGTATACTTTCCAGTTCATAGCAGTCACCACTATTGTTGCGTGCAGGTTGGAAGCGCGCAACATTACACAATAAAAACCAGAATAGGAAAGTTCTGGATTAATTAATTAAGATTAGAATAATACTTTTAAGGGTTTAATTAGCTTTAAAGTGATTTACAGATCCAGTGTTCAGTACTAGAAATTATATGAGATTTATTAATTTTAATATAGTGTTATTACAAAAGTTTACAGTTTATATTATTTATAAAAATACACAGTGAAATATATCGGGATGAAACTAGAAAAAGCATGCATTTTTTTCCAGCATTCTATGTAATGATGTAGGCCATTACTGTGTGACGTATGACTCTGCCGACAAAGTGGCCACTGACAGTGGAGAACGTTTGATTTGTTTTGTTCTTTAATACTGCAACAACTGGAATTGTAACGGAATAAATTTTAAGCTGTTTTCCCGAAATTTTCGGAACTGAAGACTGTGGAATCTAAAGTTAAAAATTCGTTCTTATTGTTGATTTAATTGGACTTAATAGGAGCTCGCCGCCTCGAATATATTCAATTTATTTTTCAGATTCGCGAGACTGACAAGGATTTTGCACAGAATACCACATACTTCTAAACATCTCGTCCTAATCGTAGATAATGTTTCCTTCTGAAAGTGACTTTTTGAACCTTCATTCAGATTAGTGTTGAACAATAGAATCCCGTTTTGCTGAGTTCTAAAGCACTTCTCCGCTCCTGACATGGCCATTTTGTCTGAATCAGGTGATAGACGGTGACCGCTTACGTCACTTTAAAGAAAGGCTGGGCGAAACTTTATATCTTCGCTTACACACTTCTTTAAATTTCATCGCCATATATAGCTTACATCGTGATACATAGCCATTATAAATTACTGAAATTAATACACTATATCTTTCGTAATGATTATGAATTTATGTATTTTGAATCATTTTTCGAAATTTAAATGAAAACACATTTTGGAAAATGACAAAATTTCTGTTTATATTCATAAATTCTTATTTCCCATATAATTTTATTAAACTGAAATAAATACTTGAAATCTAATATTGGTTTCTTAGAAAGTAAAAATTATGATCACTCTCTTTAAAACAGAAAATTAAATTAATATAACAAATTAGATTAATACTTGGAAAATATTAATAATAGAACAAATTAGAAACAATATTAAATAATCAGAGTAACTTGAAATAATTAGAAATAATAAATTAGATTAACATCATTTATCGAAACATGAAGTGCATTGGAAAATTATAGGTAACACTTACCATTTCAAATATTATAAAAATTTCCCTGTATTGCACATTTTTCGCAATAATCACTAAGCAGACATGATTTAGCATTATATAATTTGCTCTTTATCTTTCTTTATTTACCATATGGAGAAATTAATTTAATTGATAAGAATCTCTGATTTTCTCTGTAAGTTTTCGTTGAAATAGATAATTCTATGTTCAAAACACGAGTCTTCAATTTTGCAGTCAAATTTCACATAGATTACTTTGAAATAATTTTACTGGCAATCAAATTTTCCAAACCTCTTGCATACAAGTTTTCTTTAGTAATGTTTTTCCATTCATCGGTTGAGAAAATGTCCTTCGCATGTTCAGAAAAATATTTTAAAGTACTCTTGTACAAGTCATCGTCAGAATGACTATGGGCTAATTGGAAAACTTTACAGACATTCTTAGCAGAAAGACTTGATTTCAGAAAAGCCGAGCACTCTTCTTTGAAAGCAAAAACATTGTACTTAAATGCTGCCGCATACAGATATATTGCTCTTTCATCCAAAGGTTTTTCCAAGCGACCAGAGTACATATATTCAAGCATTTCATCCATAGCATCGGGATCGACATCTGTAATCTCAATTTTACTGTTTTCTGAATTGGTATTTTCATCTCCGAACATTCTGGAAAACACTGAAGATCGGGCACACAGAATAAACTTGTGCGCGGATAAAGTTTTGGAAGCGACTACTAAAGTAACATCAGAAAAGTTTCCACTTTTGTACAACTTTAGAAGACTGTTGCTGAAATAATTGCACTTTATAGAAGATAAAACGCCACAAGAAGTTTCTAGAGTCTCAGACGAATGACTACAATCTGAAAACTTAAATTCACATTTAAGAAGCAATACATCCTGTGAACCTTTGGAAATGGTTGGCGAAAATTCCGCGCATTTCCATTTTTTATCTTTTTCGAACAAGTGATCATTTTCAAAGCAATTAGTTACATCGAAAGATATCTTGCTTTTAACGAAAATCGGCTTGGCTTCAAAATCGTTTGGTCGGACAATGCAAATTTCGAAGATTCTATCCTTTTTGTCGTTTTCACGGATATGCAGTTGTAAACACCATCTGCAGGGTTTCAGGATTTCGACAATAAATACATTGTACAGTATTGTATTAACAGACAGATTAGAGAAATTATGTACTGGCCATTCAAATGATATTTGCATTACGTTAATGCGAGTTCTACATTTCTTTGAAACATTTGGAATAGAACTCAAGTTAGGAAGTCCATATCTCACGGCAGCAGTGGATAATTCTTCAAACAATTCATATCCGACGAGTTCTGCTTCTCCAGCGTAAACGTATTTGATCATGCACTCAAGTACATTAGATGGGATATCAAAATTTATCTCCTGAGTCGTTTTTCTATTAAGTTCTTTTATCAACTTCGGCCATCTCGCCCATAAAATAGCTTTGTACTTTGAAAACAGCATCATGAGTACGCAACACGATGTTAGAGAATAATCCATTTTTGTAAGAAAGTTCGGGCATTGCGTCAAGTGCATTTTTCTCTAATACAGATTTCAAAGAGCATTTTATGATAAGGATATCATTTATCAAGGATGAAAGAAAGAGTTTTCTTACAAATAAATGTCCTAATAGTCGACCTGCATTCTTATGATACCTACCTAGTGAGATATTGCGGTTGAAAATTAATCTTTCTTCGCAATCCAATCCCTGTATAAAACATTCCAAAGAACAGACTTCTGAAACATCATCAATTCTCCCGACGAAAATTGAGATGTAATCTCTATCGTTTTGACCTTTTGGATATAAACATATTGACCATTTCATGCCAGGTAAAGAATTCAGAGAAAAGAAAGGACTGTGAAGAAATTCTCCTTTTGAATGATGGCACATGCTGAAATTTTCAATCACCCAAGTAAACATAAATCTATCGTCTGTTTGCATCTCCATTACAAGCAGCAGTTTTTCATTCTATCTGCTGTCGATATCTGCGAAATTAGAGTGTCTGTTTTGAAACCCTCTAATGTTTAATCAGATTTGTTTCGTAAGATAAAAAGGAAGAGAACTTTAACCTTGCGTTTAACTTTAACTTGAGCTCATCTTTTACAATTGTTAAAAAATATTGTTGTCGCAGCACATATTTATCTCTAGTTGATGCTAATTATTATAATTAAATAATTCTAGACCAAAATCGTGCTGAAAAGAAATTGGTTGAATGAAAGTAGATGAAGGTTGCAATATCCGAAAAAATGAGTACCAATCGAAAGTTTATTTTTCACGTCAGTGCATTCAAGAAGTACTGTTTAAGTATGGCAGAAAGTAAAAGTTTCACACAGCTAAACATTTCCTTTCGGGTGTATACAAAATCCTACAATGCACATGTTAAAGATTTTAAAAATAAATTGTGAGTATTTTTAACTATTAATATAAGTTAATTAATTTTATAAACAAAATTAGCCTAATAGCGGTTACATTTTTAATAGCGCATTTATCTCGGGTTTATATGATAGTCGATTCAACGATTCTACTCATTACAAAGACCTATAAAAATAAACATCACCAATCTTTCATAAATCTAATTCCCACCGTCTCGAAAACGCTAACCATATGATAGAGATTTTGAGTTTCGAAACGCTTGTTTTAATTTCATCGAATTCACTAAAGGCTTAGAGAAGAATATGCAAATACCACATGATGTGACTCATTACGATTTAATCTCCGAGTGTATGGATTGTAGGCACTGATTGAAGGCGATGCCTTTCTGAAGCTTTCGAATAGGTGAGTTTCATAGCTGATAAACTTTTTTGAGAAAAGATTTTGGTTGTTTTTTAATAAGATTAATTATGATTAGATCAATGTAAGCGTGTTGGTAGCCGATTTTAAGCATTGGCATGAAAACATACGCTAGTATCTGAACGACAGCCTATTCCATCGCTGGACTTTCCATACTGGGTCAAACGATGTAGCATTGCTTTTGGCCACCTTGGCCACCCAGATTCCCACATCTAACCCCCTGTATTTTTTCCTATTGAATTTTGTTAAAGACTAAGTGTTCGTGCCTCCTTTTTCCTAGGACTTACAACAGCTGAAGCACTGGGTAACTGAAGTGCTGGAATCATTAACAAAGGATATTCCATACCGAGTGTGGCAGAAAATGGAATACCGCATAGATATTTGCCGTGTCACCGGAGGATCACAACAGAACAGCTATAGAAACTTGGATAATTATAGTTGCACTGTAAATTTAACTTACCAAAACAAAATAATCGCAGCGAACACGTGTATGCTTTCTTTTTGTCCCATTCAATATGAAACACCCTATATAACAGTCACCTGATTGTACCGCACGGATTAGAATTATAGAGATAAGGGTAGAGTTGAGACTAGAGTTGCCCAATTGCATTCTCTTATCTCCATGAATTTTGCTTTACACAATAAAAAGTCTTTATTTAAGTTCCGTAAAGCATTGTAATTGCCATGACATTCGTCCTTGTTTTGGTACTTTTCCGTGCCAGTATGATAAATAATCAAAGACAATGACCGAGATAAAAAGAAATTTCGACCCCTGAGTGATATTAGAAGCTAAAGGTTGCAGTTATACTCGCATAAAAATTCATTCTTTATTTATTTTTGGCTCTTGAGTGAAAAACGTCAGCTATAATATATGCCCACTTAAAATACTTTAATCTGTTATTATAAAAACTACAGTTTAGATGTTTTTACGGCAACTGAGCTCTCATTATTATAATTTCTGCTTATTTCCATGCTATACAAATCAGGACTGCTATTCGACTTTCCTTGCCTTCTAAAATGATTATTCGGTTACTCTACAAGAAAGGAGCCACAAACAGGCGTGAGAAATTTGAAGAAATTTCATCAAGTACACTGACATATAACGCATTCGGGAAAGGCGCCTATTGGCTTTTTTTTTTTTTTTTTTCCTTAAATATTTTATGCGTACTTTTATATTTAAAAATATCTTAATCAAGCATTTGTAAAGAAACTATTTCTTAAAGTAAGGCAGAAGATCATATTGTAGAGTCATTAAGTTAATTGGAAGCAGAAAAGATGAAAAATATGCAACCGCCTTCGCCGGGAATCGAACCACGGACCTCTGGAATACCGGCTCAGAGTGCTACCCTTACACTTCGAAGGCACGCTAGGGAAGTGGGAGAAATACCTTATAATATAAAAATAGTTCAACGTGATTAAAAAGAGCGTTATATAAATATAAACGCGTTCACTTTTCGTATGGTTCCTGTACTGTAAGCATTCCAGTCAATGAATCATTACGTTTAATAATTTTTATATGACGTATTATTTAAACTTTATACGTACTATTTAAATTTTATACGTATTATATTTATACGTATTTATTATTAAACCTTATACATATTATTTAAATAAACTCTTAAAACTGTGCATTTTGAGAAATGACAAAAAATTAATTTTTTTTTAAATAAATTTCTGTGCATTCCATTTTACGTCTGCAGCACGATATCTATATTAAAAAAATTCTGATACGGACACCACATGATTTCTTTGTACGGCTTGTGAAACTGTATAAATTTTTAAAGCACTTCATTTAACGTTATTTCTTTAAATTATTCCAACTTAATTAACTGACACTCCAGGCACGTAGAAAATGACATCAAAAATTGCAAATTTTAAAATTAAATAACCCAGTCAATTTTTCGTGTACGGGATTCAAACTTCTTATAATTTTTATTTTTCTTAATGCGTATAAAACTTTGTCAAATATCAGTACAAGAAACAGACGATCACATTAAAAGATACATTTCGTTATTTGTCCAAAATCAATTTTTAAAAAAATCTGACATTGCCAAAACATGAATATAGACCCTCCTTCGTTGTTTTTGAAGTTTGTTTGAAGAGAGTCAACGACTTTAATGGTATTGGTAATGGCGTCCGTAGGGTGGTGAGTAAACAGAAATAATCATGGTAACCGTAAAGGTGCTAGATCCCAAAAGGATGGTACAATGATCCCTTTCGGTAATGATGTTAATAGGGGACCAATCTGGGTTACAGCAAAATGTGGCGGCTCGAAGATCATGCTCGTTGATGATGCTAGTGACTTTTATAATTCTCCACGAAAGAGGAAAGGTAGCTACTTCTCGATATTTGCAATATGGCTTCTGAATGAGTGACAGATCTGCGTCATGTTGAATTGCATGTGCAATAGCCTGGGTAGCTGCAACCTTTGCGCGTTGAAGATTTATTTGGATTAGCCGACTAGTTCCTTGTTATATAATATTTTTTAATCTTTATTTTGGAGGGGGGAGGTTAATAGGGTTACAGCCGAAAACATCGCGGAGAAAATAACGCAAGGCAAACACGTCGTGATACAAAACATCGTGGGAGAAAATAAAGCAAAGAGAAAACATCGCAGTTTTAAAACATCGTGGTACAAAATACCGTCATCGAAAATAAAGCAGTTCAAAAACTTCGCAGTTTAAAAGCATAGCCGTCGAAAATATCGTGGTAAAAAATAAAGTACCTACAAATTATCGCATGACGATAACATCGCAGACATGAATTTTAAGGCTTTAATAATTGAAATGGATATTCGCATAATGATTTGTGTGCGCAAGATGGAAAGAAGGATAATTTTCAGATTCATATTTTTATTAATTAATACATTTTTAAAAAAGCAAAACAAGAAATTCGAATAAAACAAGAAGTAATTTTCATTATAAGAGTATCAGATTAACAAAAGTGAAAAAAAAATTATCTCATAATTAGTAATTTTTTACTTATCTTTCTTTTTCTATTCTTTTTTAGATAATACTTTTCATGAAATATTACCGGTAAAACTTATCAAAAATATTTTATTAATGACCTTTGTTAGTTAACTATGTCAGTTTGAAATTCTATTAAGTGCTACAAATTGCATTAATTTTCTATACTTAAGTTTCCATTTTACATTTTCAGCAAATATTTATTGGTTAATAAAAAAAAATATAAAAGTAAAAATTATCCTTCTTTACATCTTGCGCTCACAAACCATTTTGCAAGTTTTTACAATTATTAAACAATTATAAAATTTTACAGTTATTAAAGCTGCGATGTTATTGTCGTGCGATGATTTGTAGGTACCTTATTTTTTACCACGATATCTTCATCGACGATGTTTTTTTAATTGCGAAGTTTTTGAACCGCTTTATTTTCGACGACGATGTTTTGTGCCACGATGTTTTAGAACTGCGACGTTATCTCTTTGCTTTATTTTCTCTTACGATGTTTTGTACCACGACGTTATCTCTCCTACGATGATAAATAAACTCTTAAAACTGTGTATTTTGAGAAATGACAAAAAATTGATTTTTTTAAAATAAATTTCTGTGCATTCCATTTTACGTCTGCAGCACGATATCTATATTCAAAAAATTCTGATATGGACACCACATGATTTCTTTGTACGGCTTATGAAACTGTTTTGTACCACGACGTTATTTTCTCCTACGATGTTTTGTAACACGACGTTTTCGCCTTGCGTTGTTTTCTCCGCGACGTTTTCGTCCGC